AATCATATATATGTATATGTATGTGTTTAGTTTTGATAGAAAGGAATATCCCCAATTGGTTTCAGGTTCTGAAAGCTGGCCTTGTTCATCACGTGAACCATTAACTAGTGGACTTTATTATGATGATTATAATACTCGTCGATGTGATGAATATAAATATGAAACTAATTATACAAATACTTCGGGATGTCTGGCTGATAAATATGCTCCATGTGGAACTACAACAGTGGCTAGTGATTTTATCAATGATAGAGTGATTCATACAAGTAGTTCAGCAGAAACGAATGCATATCTTGAAAAAATAGCTGATATTTATAAGGATCCTAATCCACAAACCATTCGACGAACAAGTGATTGTCAAGTAAAACAAGAACAACGGGTTTTTCTTCGATATCTTCAACCACCTGTTCCAGAACCAGGAGTAACGAAACAAATCTTTACAAATTCAATCTTATTAATCTTTTTATGACTTTAGACGCTCATTATTAAAGAAGTGCGTCCACCCCAACCACCGCCACTTCCACCACTGATTATACGTGAACAACCAGCAGCTCGCTGTTCACCACCTCCACTTATCTTACGTGAACGGCCACCAACGCCACCGCCATCTGTTCCTAATGAAACAAGTTTTAAAAAAATTTAGTTACATGCATTAGATTGATTAATGCCTTTTACTTTGCAGTTACTCGTTGTTTATCTGCTTTACCTGCTCGACCACGATCAGTTATCATCGAACGTTGTCCACCTCTGCCAGAAAAACCACGTAAAAGACTTATTTTGAAATTTCTTGTTTCTTTTTTTAAATTTGAGACTGTTGTTTCTTTGGTATTTAGGCGATATTATAATTGAACGATGGCTTCCCTACGAACGTCCAACTCAACGTCGTACAATTATTGAACCTGCTCCTCCTGCTCCAGCTTATGCAGAACCGCGTAATCAGGTGATTATTTATGATTGTGCTAAATCATGTATATGTCGACGATCTCAATACCTTGGTGTTATCCAAGAAAATATTGCCGGTTATGTAGCTCTTTATGAGGCGTCACTTTTAGACTCGGCGACAGTTCTTCAACAGGCTTGTCATTAAATTCGTCAGATGGGACCTCGTTCCGTACTTAGATCCGTACTCGAACGGGTTCGGGTAGAGTCCGGGTCCAAATATTTGATTTTAATCGGATCCAGTCCGAGCTCCGGGTACATTGAAAAAAAACTGGTGTCAAACGACACCTTTGGGGTTTCGTGGAACTTTAGTATAGGCTAAAAGGTTTCCCAAGACAATAGGAAATTTTTTTAAAGTTCCGTAAACTTTTAGGTTTCGTACACTGATCGTCCCAGTTTCGTAGCTGAACGAGTTTCGTAGAAAATCTTTTCAAGCTATCATATGCAAAAGGTTTTCTACTAAACTGTTTCTCTTTCCTCTTTCATATATTCTATGAACATATATTCAATAATCAGAAAGCTGACCGATCCTCAATTTCTTCATCATTTTAATTATTGGTCAACTTCTAATGAGTTTTGCACATTTCGTTTCTATTTTTCTTTGGATTGATATGTTTCTATGCTATTACTTTTCATGAAAGAATATAGAAAGCCCATTAATGACGCAGTAATGTTTAACATTTTACCGAGAAACATATAATGTCTACTCGCTCAATACTTTTCTACGTACTTATGTCATCAAACAGTTAACTTTAGCGCTTTATTCATGACAGTAAAGTTAGCGCCTGATTCGAGTTTTTCTGGGGACGATTCGCTCAGACGTCT